CTCGCACTGCTACAGCCTTATTTGGGTGGTGCTTTTCTACAAAATTTTGCTCTTATTGCAAGACATTGCTTGTATATCAAGGCAACATTTTTCAGAAATGTTTGCTTGTCTTGCAAAACGCTCTCAAACCAAGTTACTTGTAAACCAAGGTATTACTGTATTTCGAAACCTGGAATACACTTATAAGTGCACTCATCTTCTATTGATTTCATAAGGATATAAAAGAATAAAAGAAACATGTTTGCAGGGCCGGCCTTAGGTCTTTAGGCGCCCTGTGCGAGAAAGCTTTACAGCGCCCCTCAGTGACCACACCCCTCAGTGGCCACACCCTTTAGTGGCCACACCCATTTATTACCCATATTTTTGGTAAAATATAAAACTCTGGGTCACGTCGGGTAAATAGACAGGGGGGGGCGGACGAGGGAGCGCTGTCATATCGTATGGCCAGCGCCCAGCGGTGAGGGGGAGAGAAGCCGCCCCCAGGACGAGCTGTGTCGGCCGCACGGCGCCCTTGTTGCCATGGCGCCCTGTGCGGCCGCACTGCTCGCACACCCCTAAGGCCGGCCCTGCATGTTTGATACGTCTAGGATTGCATTCTACAAGCAGATCTGAAAGGACTTTTGGACAACGTTAGTTGACTCAGTGATGGCAACATCAAATGTTCTGAGGAATGGTTGTTCAGATTCGAACGATATTCTAACCATGTATGGCCAGCTTAGCACTAATGATTAGTGATGTGCGGGGACTTACAGGGTTATTCACAAAAGGGTGACGAGTTTGGAGAAGACAGGAGAAGTGAACAATCTAGGACAAAATAGCTGATTCGGAAAGATTCTCCAATTAAGCTCACTTTCCAGTTCAGCTATTTTGGCCTAGATTGTTCAATTCTCCTGCCTTCTCCAAACTCTTCACCCTTTTGTGAATAGACCTGTTAGTGTGAACCCAGTTCACCTAAGCTAGCCCAAACCACACAAAACTGTGACTTAGACCAAAGTCATCACACGTGATCAGGATATGTAAAGAGTCTGTACACATCAGAAAGAGGGACTCTAGAAGGCCTTTAGATGTCCAGATACTGTGGGACTAAAGGTCCCAGCAGCATATCATACCATGTTGCACGATATGCTGACATAGTGTGAACCCCTAAACAGCAGTTGTCTCTAACACCATGTCAGTGTTTCTCTGGTCTCCAGAGCTCACACTACGTTATGTGTATGTAGCCTGACACAGCCATAGAAAAACTCGTACATAAACGAGCCCACAACCACTCACATCTCTCCTGTCTTCTCCGCTTCTTGCGGCCTCACTGTCTCTAAGCAACCGAAGTCACGTGTATTCCTTGACCCAATCCCAGACGGCGTTCTTCGAGGTCTCGCGAGCGGACACAACAGTATGGGTTTTTAGGTTTGGTGACGTAATCGGGCCGAACTGGCATGCGTGAGAAGACAGAGCAGTGATTGCATGTTGCAGTTGTACTAGAGGCGGTTAGTACGGCGGCTACTCCCTGCAAACATGAGGGGGATGGCACAATACGTAGTCAGTGCTTGTCTTCTCTGCTGTGCTTTGATGCTGCTATGAAACTGGCTGGGCTTTAACCCCTTCATTACCTGCCCATTTTTCAGTGCCGTGAGGCCCCAGTCACACTTGTAATGATGGTAGATTGGGTGAATGTTACAAATTGCTCCATGAGATTGATTGATGGGAATAGCTGTGGACGCTAAATGCTATACCAGTGAGGTACCAAGCAGAATAGAAAATAAGTCAAATGAATAAAAAATAAAAAAAGTTGAAAAATTATTTTAAAATGTAAGAAAATAGGAACATAAAAAAGTTTAAAAAAAAAACACTGGCAAAAGAAAAAACAGTTGGGTGGAGTTAGCAGTGACAGCTAGCTCCGCCTGTTTCCTATTGGCCGACACCTGCCAGAATCTTCTAGCAGTTGTTATTGTTTAACCACTTGAAGTCCGCAGTGTTACATCCCCTTCCTGTCCAGGCCATTTTTCAGTATTTAGCGCTGAGGTACTTTGACATTTATTCTGTCATGCAACGCTGTACTGAAACTAATTTTATATCATTTTTTTGGGGACAGATAGAGCTTTCTTTTGGTGCTATTTAATCACCACTGGGGGTTTTATTTTTTAATAGAGTAAGGACAAATTACCAAAATTTTCTTTAAAAAAAAACTTTCCCCTATATTAAATAATAAAACATCTATTATGACCCAATTTTCTGGTAAAATATAAAGACGGGGTCACGTCGGGTAACAAAAGTTATCACATCACTTTTGTTAGCCTGATGAAGGGACCAGACAGGTTCCGAAATGTTGCCACGCATGGTGATATGACCGGCATGAATGAATAAAAGGATTTCGTTTTGAAGAAAACCTGGAGTGCTGGTGACCATTTTTCTGTTTTGCAAGTATTTGGCAGCGCCATCTGCGGCCACTTCAGCATCCCCCCACATTGAATGGGGCTTCTCGTTCAGGAGTGTGGTGGGACTCTATTTGTATGGCAAGCCTTAAAATTGTGCAAGCCCGTGAAAACTACAATACCTAAAATTGACCATAGGCGATGCTTTAAAAGCTTTTACCGCGCATCAGTTTAATGTCATCAGTGATTGATGGCCCTAAAATTATTGCTCTCACTTCGACGTTCGCAGCGATATGTCGTTTTTGCGTGCTGGCGCATCTGACATGCATTTACGGGAGCTCTCTAGATCTGAGCGGGCATCTTTAGACATCCGCTCAGCCACACCCACTTGCACGCGCTGCGCGCAAGCGGGACAGTCCCAAAATTTAAAAACAGGCAGCGATGCGGATTACTTGTATGAGCTGCCGGTTCCCCCCCTCCCGCTGTCACGCAGGTCCCAGGCTCCGCTGTGCCCGGTGCGAGCTCGGGACCAGCATAGTGGCTCTGTGACAGGGGATCAGAGGTAGATCGGTACACGAACTCCCTCTGTTCCCCTCTCCGCTATCAGAATGCGGAAGTGTTGTATAATACATCACTTCCGCATTCTGCTGTCACTCTCCAGCTTCAGACGCTGGAGAGAAGCTGATGAAGCAGATCTCTGCTTCATTAGCTTCTTCGGGGGGGGGGGGGGGGGGGTCCTAGGTGACATAGGAGACCCCTGATGTCTCCATAAAGAGGACCTGTCACATCCTCTTTGCTATCACATAGGGGGATTTCTTAGCAATAAAGTTAAGTGATGGCATGTGTGGCAATAAAGTTAAGTGGAAAAAAAGACCCCACCCATACGTACACGCATGCAAACATCCGTCGGGTGCGCATACCTGTGAAAACGACGATTGCGCCGCACATGTTACATATCGCTGCGAACGTCGCAGTGAGAGCAATAATTCCAGGGCCATCAATCACTAATAACACTAAACTGATGAGCGGTAAAAGCCTTTAAAGCGTCACCTATGGTCAATTGTGGGTATAGTAGTTTTTTGCGATTTCGCGGGTGCGCGCAATTTTAAAGCTTGACATGTTTGGTGTCTATTTACCCGACGTGACCCCGTCTTTTATATTTTACCAAAAAATTGGGAAAATTAATAATTGTTTCCTAACATAATGAAAAAACATTTTCTTTCCCCTAAATATCGTAAAAAATAAAAACCCCAGTAGTGATTAAATACCATTAAAAGACTCCTCCGTATCCTTAAATCACTGCCAACGGGCAAGAGTCCTGGCCCGGATGGCTTCACGGTTTGCTTCCACAAACCTTTTCAGGATATTTTAAAGTCCCCTCTCCTGAACTCCTTTAACGCTCTCTCGGCCACCTGCCACTTTCCCCGCCAATCACTGGAGGCTCATGTAGGGGTTCTACCCAAGCAAACCAAGGATACGATATACGGTCTTGACAATGAGGAAGGAGAGGGGTGGGGCGGCGCTCCCAGATCTGGAGGCCTACTATAGAGCCACTCACTTATCGCATTTGATGGACTGGTTTGACACCAGGAATTCGGCTCTTTGGGTTTCGCTGGAGCGGGAACTGTCCCCAACACCTCTCACGAATCTCCCCTGGCTTCTGCCCCGGCAACGGCCCCCTAGCCCTACGCTACCCTTCTTTCCTACCCCAGTGCTCAAGGTGTGGGATTCCACGAGGATCAAATACAAACTAGCAGCATCCAGGGGCTTGATGACCCCTGTTATGGCACATACAGAGTTCCCTCCTGGATGCGGGGGACGTAGGTTCCTGTGTTGGGAGGAGACGGCCCCTTCATACATCTTTCAGGGATTGCGGGGGGGATCCCTCCAATCCTTGGATCAACTTTATGCCCCCGATCCTGTGCCGCGGAATGTGTGGTTTGCTTACCATCAACTTCGACATTTTGTAAGGGGTCTGTTTTCACATGACTCTATGCCAAGCTCCCTGACCGCATTTGAACAACTATGCGCAGGTGGAGAACCCCCGCCTCACCTCATCTCGTTCCTATACAACTTACTATCCTCTGGGATCGAGGGGGAATCCCCGTACTTCATCTCTGCATGGGAGCGAGAATTGGACGTGGTCCTTTCCGAGGAGGAGAGGCGGAAATGCTTCTGCTTCACTCATAGTCTCTGCATGTCCTCAGCGGTGCAGGAACGCAACTACAAACTACTGACTAGGTGGTACAGGGCCCCGATCAGGATTGCACCAGATCTTTCCCTCTCTGCCGGACACCTGCTGGAGGTGCCTCACAGGAGTGGGAACGCTATCACATATCTGGTGGAGCTGTCCTCTGATTGTCCCCTTCTGGCGCTCCATCTCACACGTGTACTCAAGAATGTCTGCCAGTGATCTCCATCTCACGCCTCAAATGGCAATATTGTCGGTGTTTCCGGGATCCATCTCCCGGGCAAAGAAATCTCTCTTACGATTCTTTGTTAACGCCGCTAAGGCATTGATTCCAAGACATTGGAACTCTCAGGTAATTCCGACGCTGGAGGAATGGTCCACGGAAATGTGCCGTCTAATGAGATCCGAGGAGCTGATTGCT